CTACAAAGCAAGAGAGGATATTCTTACTGTCTCAGTACTCCAGGCTGTTAGTGTCATAAAGGTCATTCACATGTGAAGAGATTAAATATAGTTAACAAAAATAGTTAACCATCAACATATAATATTATTAGATTTCCAACCACTTTATCCAGAAGGACAAAACCTGTTTAAGTAACTCTTTTGTGTGGATGGACAAATTAAAAGGGCAGTTTTCAGGCAGCCTGAATGCCACCTGTCTCATGGCACTGAGTCAGAGGAGATGTGGGCTTCCAAGCAGCAGCTCAGCAGGTCCAAGTAGGGCAGTAAGCAGGGAACAAGTAGGACAAAGTAGATTTAGGAACTTTTATGGAATTCAGGCAATCTGACCATGGTCCAAAGAGCTTAAGGGTCTTTTCCTAGATCACACAATAGCACATTGGCAAACTGCTAACACCCTGGCTTCCAGCCCAAAGCACTGTCCTCCATCCAGCTGCGTAAGTGAACAGAAGAGGGAGTTCTCAGCTGAAGGAATTTTTTGCCTCGAGTTTCCAAGCTAGGCTTGATAGCTAAAACAATTGAAAACATTTACAATAAAATGAAAACAATACATAATTGTATTGTTTTCCAGCTTTTCTGGTGCCAAGAAACAGCTTTGGTCAGGAAACCAGTTGTAAATTTGACAAGGAAGAAACAGAGATGAGATAAGTAGGACTGCTTACTTGCCAAGAGAGACTCCCTAAATTTAACTGTCTTGAACTTTGTGAAGGAGGAAGAGGCCTTCAGCCCAGTTCAGTCCTATTCTAAACTAAAACCTAGTAAAGTCAAGGCAACACCTGTGGTATGTTACATTGCCACTTAAATCCAGAATCCGTAATAGAATGTAAGAGCCAGGTATAGTTGATAATATAGCAATTATAAGTCCAGATGTGTATGTATGCGGAATGCATGTATGTATAATGAGTTATATTACCTCCAATGGTGACAAGAATGCAAATGTCTCTATTTAATGTCGATGAGGCAAGAAGCTTTTGAAAATCCTGGGTAGTACCTAATACTATCCCGAGCAAAGTGTGGATGCTCACAGTTTAACTCACGTGTACCAGCAAGGTATGGGAGTAAGTGATGAAACCCTCCAGGGCAGCTCATATCACAGTAGTAGTTTCAGCACCTCAACTACTCTAATACCCCCAAACCCACTTTCTGCTGCATTTTTCTGGGCAATAAAATAAACACCAGGCAAGAGAATGGGGGACCTGATGTGTGATTGAAGGAGCAGTCAAGTAAGAGGACTGCAGGGTGGGATTTGATCTGCACCGAGTCCCTGTAAGAAAGGGGCTTCAGAGAAAGAAAGACAAAAGACTTTGGAGTGGAAATGGTGGAAAGGTGAAGGACAAGTCAAGAGATGGGACAAAGGATGGATGAAGCAAGAACAGGAATTACAGATTATGAAGGAACTATTTGAATGCTGTAAACTCCAGGGAGGGAAAAGAATTGTTTAGGGTGGTTCGGTGATATTTCTAGGAGTGATGGGATGCAGATAAGCAAGTGGAAAATGTAAGCTATTAAACAGGAAACATTTCCTGACAGTGAAGGCTAATAGACTGTGGAAAAGTCTCCTAAGGGAAGTGGCAGGAGCCACTCAGACAATTAAAACTAGACTAGACAACATACCTTAGGGCATAATCATGCCTAAGACCACAGACAACTGACTGGATGTGACAAGTGTCTTTCCTTCTTGCTTCAGAAATAAAGCCATAAAGCCCAGGGGGAAAAAAAGGAGCATTGTAAATGCAAGGTCCCTATATACAGGGAGAAATCACACCTGACTCAAAGTCCAAATGCAAATTTCCCTTGTAAGCGACACAGGGTATGGCAGTTTGGTTGCTCATGAGCAGTATATACACAAAAGATTCTGTTCTCTAATGTTACATTACCACCAACCAAAAAAAAAAAAAATCTAATTCACAATAAACATTAATTCATTGTATGCTCAGGCATTCTGCAGTGTTTAATTAGCTGATTGTTTAAGGTTTAACAGCTTTAAGGACCTTTTTCTTATGAACTACTGAATTTATATCCTGTTCTACCTCTCTGATACCATCCAACTTTCTAAACCACAATTGATAAGTACCTGATAGAAAAACACTAATTCTTTGTTAGTTTGTAGACTTAAGGAATTTTGCAGAAAGCTTGCAAAATTTAGACACTAGTTATTTGGAGTATGTTGCATTCAACAGAAGAAGGGAAGAGTACTCATGAGTGCTGGATATAAGGCAGCAGTAGCCACCTGAGGGCTGGATTCTTTTTTTATTTTGATTTTTTAAACTTTTTCTCCCCATCGTCTTGATGTGCAGGCCGGAAGATTTTTAGGGTGCTCATGTGTCAATCTACTAAGACATGACTGAAACCCACAAGCTTATTTAACACAACCTGCCAAATACCTGTCAGCTGGTAAAAAGTCAGGGGTTGCGTTGTTTGAGAAGGGTTGGGCTCTCACTTAGCAATGAAAGGCTCCATAACCCACTTCCATTTCACTCTTCTGGTACAGAGACAGTGTCAGGACCACGGACAATATGATTTGGTGATATTTACCTTCCCTCAGTGTTTCCTGTGGTCATCTTTGATTTCTGTGGTTCTATGGTCTAAAAGCTCCACAACCTTGCACTGAATGAACAATGAACCTGCTGCACTTACTCCTAATTGTGAATCATATTGACTGTAAAATTTGATTTGCATTACAGTAATGCTTGGATGTCTAAGTCATGATCACACTCCCATTGTGCAAGGCACTGTGCAAACCCAGAACGGTAGACCTTGTTCCAAGAATTTACAGTAAACAGAACAGAATAACTCAACCGACCTTGATTTCTCACCTGACAACTTCCCTCTCTGCTTTAACTCACATCCCAAAGAGTTTGAGATCAAATCTTTGCAGAAAACTGTCCTCTCACGCTGCATAGGTGCTAACCACCTTTCAACATTTGTGTCCAGGTTACTCCTGCAGTGCAACATCTTTTCTCCTGAAGGTTCGTGCACGTATAACTTGCAGAGAAAGACCCAATCACGGGGTGCTGGTGCAACAATTGTTAAAGCTTATACTGAGTGCCGGGCTAGAGCGGTTGCCAAAAATATGTCTGCAATCATTCATCCACACAAACATTAACACATATGAAACATAACCGAGCATTGTGAAGATTGGCTTACCTGGTATTTTCTAGGTGTTTATTGATTAAAATATCGATTAAGGCACTTGATGACATTTGTGCTTGGAACTTCTGGTTCTGCTGTTTCCCAGCGGAGATGAGGAATCGCTCAGCCCTTCTGGGGGTCTGGCCACTATCTTCTGTACATGGGCCTGAAAAAATGCAACAATCAATTTTAGAAATGACAGGTCCTAAAGCTAAGTTTTGTGTATGTTTAGAAGTGTGTCAAAACCCAAAACTTTATTGAAACCATTTTTTTTATAATATTAATGGAACAACAATGTAGAAATCACTACAGTTCTTACAATATAAACGTAGCAGTGTTGTTTACTTTTCTTCTCAATATTACTAACCATTTGCTAAACTAGAAAGTGAGTCAACATTATTTACAGTTTTCAGCATAAATTTAATTTTTCCTAGAGATGAACTAAAATATTATCAGTTTTTCAAGATCATATTAATTGCCACAAGCTCATCCAAGTCTCCCTTCTGTTGTTATAGCTAGCCACATTTTGTATCAAGGTTCTATTTATAACTTCTAAATACTTATTAGATAGATGGTATTGCTGTGTTACTGATATGAAGATAAAGGTGTTAAAAGCAGTTATGAGCCCTCCAATAGATGTTACAAAAGATCACAAATTATGGTAATGCAGAGTTTAATGACAGAACTCCTCCATAATAATCCCTAAAAATCGATTAGCCATTTATTAACATGTCTATAATTTACTAATCATAGGCAAACATAAACTATATTATTAATAATGATTATTAGAGGTTTCGAGTTGTTATAGATTAAAGTTAAATAGCCAAAGACAACTATTCCTCTTAAAGTCCATTTAAACTTTATAACTGTCATAAAGAACCATTGAAGCATACTGCAATAAACAAAATAGTCCTGGATTTCCAGACTAGACATATTTAACCTAAATCAGCTCTCTTCCCCTGAATTTCGTATTTATTCTGACAATGAAAAAGTAAGATTAAGACATTCTATTGAAAAATTTTGCAGCCATCTGTGTGAGATCACAGCTGAGTGAGAATAAAGATTTTTCATGTCTTTCAGGAAATGAGATCTTTCATTTCTTAAAATTCTTTATTGCACCAAGTAATCTTTAAAATAGTTCCTGGAACAGAGTGAGATCAGGCATCTTGCATAAGCAAATTTACAAGTATATGAAAGGATGGCAAGTACAGAACCGATAAAAAGAAATTTATTTTAACACTACATATATTCAGATGTGGAACTTTTGCCTTGAGAAACTGCTGAAGCCAAGGTTTCAAAACCTAATTATTTAGAACTGCAACCCATCCAGAGTTCTAGTATTTCCTGCTAGCACAGTTTTTGGAGGGAATATTAACAGGCATAAAGTGATTCATTAAAGACCAGGAGGAGATCTAGAGAGAGGGCAGAGCTGCCTACTGCAGGATTTTTATGCTCTCTTCTGAATTATTTGATATTAGAACCTAGTCAGACTTGCTGGATGGTGTGCTCCATATTTTTAAGAAATCTTTAGCATCTAAAAATTTCTTTAGAGCTGAAGCACTCACTGCTTACCAGCTATTGTTGTTTATATATTTAAGAAATTAAACAAATCTAATAAAACTGGGCAGACAAGCCCAAGAAACTGTCAAAACTGTGTGACCAGTCATCATTCTCTGAGGATCACAAGCTGCAAAGTCCTTTCACATCTGCTTTTCTGTACAAAAAAAAAAAAAACAACAAACAAACCAAACCCCCAATTTTTACAGCTTTTAATTAATCTAAGTTTGAATATCTGATTTTTTTTCTTTTTCTTTTTTTTTTTTTTTTTTCAGTTGGAGGCCACTGGTGCTATCAATCACAGAAGCATGAACAGCCAGCCTGTGAAGGTACTGCTAAACAATTTATTTTTCCAGTCACATTAGTGCTTGGACTCTTCTGTTTTGCAAAAGGTTTCTTGATAGGAGTAATATAAAAATTCACACATCTCAGCATTTAATGCTGCATGATCACGTTATACATAAATGTAAATTCTAAAGAGGATACCTAAAGAAATGTATTTTGAAAATACCAGTGTTTATGCTAACCTTTCAGTTTGTTTCAACCAAGGATAGAGCTACAAATATAAAAATAAGTCTAAATGTGCTCCAGAAGTAATCACCCCAGCAAGGTGGGTATAGACAGCTACTGAAATTCTTAAGGACAATTATGAAAAGTCCTAACATTCTACCTTCAGCTGCACCTTTAGTTTTACCAGAAGCATTCATGTATGCTGCCTGCTCCCTCGCTCATCCCTTGGTCCTGTCCAGCTCTCCCTGGAACCATCTGTTCTGGGAACAGCATTTTACTCCCAGGACCACCATTTTTTTTTTTTTTTTTTTTTTTTTTTTGGTTACAGTTTCCAGGTTTCTATAGTTTCTATAGTTCAGCCAGCCTCAGTGGTAGTTCACTTTCTATTTTACAGCCATTTACATGTGTACACTTTCCTATTAAGCTTAATAGAACATTCTTGACACATACTGATATTTTTAAAACTACAAAAAATTATATACTAAGAAAGCTCCTGTATTAAATTCCAACATCCAAAGACCTTTTATTCAAAGATGTCTCCAATTTCCCAAGAAATAATATTTTGACTGTTGGGTGGTGTGGCTTTATCAAGGATATGCAGTCTACAGAAAAAAACCTATTTTCTTCATCCTTAAATAGATCCTCGACAATGGTATCTAGTAGATGACACCTGCAATGGAAACAAACAGTCACCTATCAATATTGTCACCAAAAATGTCATTTATGACAACAGCCTTAAGCCACTGAATTTTGAAGGGTATGATGTGAAGGGGTCTTCAAAATGGAACATAGAAAATAATGGACATACAGGCAAGTACTGTCAAATTATTACTGTTATTATGGGATTTACTTGTGCCTTCACTTGGAACCATCCATTTGCTTCTTCCATGTCCAGGGCAAGGTGTTAGATATCACTCCTGCTACTTAAAAGCAAGGAAGAAAAAATAAGATAGCACCCCTATATTTCAGAAGTGAAACTTTCAGAACGTCTTCTGAACCATGGCTTCCTTGGAATTTTGTGGGAATTATTGATTTTTTGGGATTCTGGACACCGTCCTTGAGTATCTCAGCAGAAATTGGTTCTGTGTGTGTGCAGAAACAAAGCTCGAGATGTCTAGGGAAGCTCTGAGTCAAACAGCAACCTGTAAGACTAGGAGGTGGGTGAGTATACTGTTTTAGGACAACAGTTTTGGCAGGGGTCTATAATTTCTGCTGAATGCTCCTATGCCATTCATTTCCGGGCTTGCCCCTTCTGACCTTTGCTTCTGCACAAAGGAGAATTCTGCTGAAGAAAAATATAATTTGCGAAAGTCATTCAAGAAGTGGCTTGAAATGTGTGTGTCTTACTAGTTCTTTAAATAACGAGATGAAATCTCAGATTTCAACCTGTTTTCTCTACGTGGAAGTAATCAAGCTCAAAAAATGTGAGCTTGTTAATCAGCTACTTACTGATTCAGTAAACGTATCAGCAAACAGCAAATCAGTAAACAGTGAGTGAATCAGTGAACAGTAATTTAGCACTGTTTCACTTCCTCCACTTTTCTTCACTAAAAGCAATACTAATGATGATGTTTCAACAATATGTTAAATTATTTTAATTTAAAAAATAAATCCGTTGTCTTTTTTTTAAAAAAAGAAAAGTATTGATAGGTGTTCTTAAAATCTTAGATGGATTGTTTTAACTGCCAAGTCCCTAAAATGGAAAGTTGCAAGTGACAAGTATTTTCCTAACTTAAAATGGAAAGGGAGGAAGGTAGACAGCTGAGTAGATTTTCACAGCCAGGATTTCTAGTTTAAAATATCAATATATTGACAGACCATAAGAAAAAGTCATATTTTGACTTTCCACTAGTATATGGGTTAATCACATTCCCATTACCAAATGATATTATAGAATCTCCATATTACAGTAGCTGTGCATAGAAATATCTTTTACACAAAGATTAACATTCATAGGAGTTGGTCAGAACTCTCATCTTTCCCAACCATGCAAAAAGATTAGGTTTTTAATCTGAGCTTTTAAAATTTCTTCCTTCTGAGGGCAACCAATTCCTGTGCTACAATGAGTACAAAACTGGAACTGTTATTACTTAAATTACAACAGCAATTAAAAACTCTGCATGAGATTAGACTATCATTATGTTCGATGATGTGCAGATAGCAAAGGTCAGTGTCTCAAAGGTCCTACAATCTAAATAAACAAAGTCAACAAAGATATGTTACTCATCCATTTACAGATAAAAAAGCAAAGTAACTAAATGACTCACGCAAGCTTCCAGTTCATTTGGAATCAGAAAAGAAATTAAATCTCTGGGGCATCAATTCAGGTCAAAACAATCTTTCCTATGGAAAGAAAAGTATTGTCCTTATTGTAGAGGTTTTAATAAATAGACTTTAAAAATATATCCCAAAAGTCTCAAACACAGGAAGCGATGGTGACTTTATGCTAGAAAAATATCTCCTATTTTCCTAAGAAAATCTTGTTTTGCTGTTAACAACAGAACAAGCATCACATTAAATAGCTATAATGGCTTAGATGCTTAGGTTTAAATTGCAACACTACTCTAAATTAAAACAGAATATCTTTAAACCCTACCTAAAATAAATGTTACAATGCAGACAATAGGAGATAAAAATGATGCTTAAAACCCAAATAAACCGTGGTCAAGTTTACTATTAAGAATACTTTGCTAGAGGGTGTTCTCCTAGACAAAAAATGAAGGAATATAAGGTCTTCTGAAAGGTAGCTCTGACTCCTGGGGTTATAATGGCATTGAACAAATCCCTACAAATGCCCTCAGTGCAATCAAGGAAAGACAGTCTATTACCCTGTTTTCTTCAAAATGCAATTAACTGATGATATTCCAAAGGATATATCGATGGATGCCATAAAAATCTGTAAAACCCTTACCCCAGAACAATCCAAAGCAGTGCTTTGTTCTTTTTTCTCCAGTTTACAGAGGGAAACAAGTATCATCAAACTTATTTTATTTATTATTATTTAACTGAAGTAATGGGTGGCTCAGCTCTCCAGCAAGTGAGGCTCTACGAGTCATTCAAGTTCACAGAGCAAATCCTAGGTAGAAATGGAAACAGAAGCTCCAAGTGCTGTGCCGTAGAGGGATGTCCAAATGCTGTTGCATATTACTGGGAAGTGGGCTGTGATATTTCTCCCTTTCATTGCAAATTAGTCTCAGCTAGCATTTTGCAAGAGTTCAGCTTCTTCAGAGTTGAACTTTTATATCACTTGGTATGAAAAAACAAGCCAAAACTTGAGGATGAATTTGGCTCTCATGAACATGCATCTCTCTACTCTCATCTTCTATTAATGTACAATCTGATTTTTTAAAATATATAATTTATTTGTTTTCCCCAGTTAAAGTAACATTAAGCACATCCCCTAAAATTGGAGGTGGAGGCCTGAGAAGAAAATACAAGGCAATAGAATTTCATTTGCACTGGGGAGTCAAAGATGTGCGTCATTACCTTCCTGGCTCAGAGCACAGCATAGATGGAGAAAAACAAGCCATGGAGGTAGGTGAGACTGTTCATGGATTACAGCTTTTTACTTGAGAACTCTCTTTTTAAGACACTGTTGCACAAAAACTATTCACTAGTTCTCCTATGAAGCCCCAACAGTGGAAATAAAGAGCGGAGGACACGTTGCTTGCTAACCAGAACACCCAGGAACACCCACTAGTTTTGCATAGCAAAGGCACAGGACAGACAACAAATCTGGAGTTATATAGCCTTTTGGGAAAAGAAATATTTCAAAGTCTATACATTCTGATTACACTCTCACACGGCTTATTCAGATTATATATTCATTTCTAGAACTGCAACCATGTAGAATTGTGACTATGTAACTGAAAAAAAATACTCTCTTCAAGGCAAGACAACTCACCAGTGTTGATACACATGGATTGGTGGAAGGAAACCACCCTGCTTTCAAACCATGATGTAAAAATCTGCCTGTTCCGCTGCACAGGCTGAAAATTGAGGGCTGCAGCAGTTCAGAGAGCCCTTCACCTTCTGGGGAGATGTATGAAACGCTAGCATTGTGGATGAATGAAGTTTCAAATTATAGTCCACTTAGGTCAAGGGCCTTGAGCATCCCCAGCCTGTGGGTCACAAAGCAGCTCTGATCCCCTCAGCGTAGGTGCAGAGCAGCAGACAGGCCACACTTACAACAATGAGCTGTAGAGGAAACCGAACAAATAATTGACCTTGGCTATTGTGTTACAGCTTCATGTTGTCCACATCAGAGAAGATGTTTTGAACATAACAGAGGCAAAGAGAAAGGCAGATGGTGTGGCCGTGTTAGCATTCTTTATAAAGGTAGGTAGACAAATTTTGAATTGCCCATCTCAAATTTACCAGTGGTTTGACTGAATGATCAACTGTGTTAATGTTACAGTAGTCCAAGACCTCAGGCTCCCTGCCTTCTTCAGGCATTTGGTGCCAGCACTCAGTTCCTTTACTCTTTTCTATATTCTGCTTGCTGTTATCTTTTAGCCTTGTGGTTCTTTTCTGTTTAATTCACAATTAGTTTAAAGCAACCTGTTGTTGAGGAACGTACAATTTAGAATAAAAATATTTCCATTTCAGGTTGAAGAAGAAAATAAAAATTATGCAACTCTAATAAATGAATTAGAGAATATTAAATACAAAGGTAAGACACTTATGTTGGTCAAAATGTAACATATATTTATTTTGAGCACATGTGCTACCAGGTGATTCATGGTCCAATCCTGTTCTAATTGTAGTAGAGATTGTTACTTGAAAGTCAAAGCCAAAAGACAAAGGTTAGTTTGTCAAGCACTCAGAGCATCGCACACGGGAGAAAACCTAGTTCTCCATATTTGCAGTAAAGAAACCCCTCAGCACCAGAATGAGTATTTCTGCTTCTGCAGCAGGAAGCACAGTGAGAAGAAAAACATGCAGAGAGTTGGTACAAGAGTGTTCATAGCTTGTGCTCTGCAGGACCCTGCAGCTGGCAGTCAGGGATTTCACAAGCAGTGCACGAGCGTGGGGATGAGGCTTTAATGTAGCCACGAGCAGCAGCCGTGTTCAGACAAATGTGACCAATACCTGCAGCTGCGCTTGTTACAAGCGGTATTTCCACGTGGTTTGTCTAGGGCAAACAGCACAGATGGAGCCTTTGCCCCTGAGTTCTCTTCTCCCACCCAAGGAAGACCTTGGAAGGTACTATCGGTATGAGGGCTCCCTCACCACTCCTGACTGCCATGAGGGTGTCATCTGGACAGTATTTGAGAAGCCAGTTGAATTAAGTATTTTCCAGGTAAGTCGCAAAGGGGTATCCTGGAAGGTCTGCTTATGGTTAGTCACGCCTTCGGCTGCCTGCTCATTCACACAATTTAACACAGACTTTCTCGCTGCTCCACTGCATCGTTCCTATGACACGCACACACTTGCTTGGCATTAGCCTAAACACAGTCCCTAATGCCAGTTTTTTGACCCTATTAAATCATGTATCAAAATGCATCAGGAAAGAAGAAGAAGCAGGAAATGATGATGTGAAAAGAAAGCCAAAAAACCCCACAGGTAAACACTTAGCTCAGCGCATCGTCAGCAGCACTTCCACTGCTGTCATCTGCTCACCCCCAAATTTCACTGTTTTTCTCCTATTGTCAGGATATCAGAACAGGATACTTCAAAACCCAAATTTTGAGTCTATTGGCATCAGCTTTAAGCAACCCATTTTTGTCCGTTAGGGAGGAACAGGAGACTGAATCATGACTGCCTCAAAAATACAGATTGTTCAGCTGAGAGAGTACATGACTAAACAATTCAGATGTCCTGGAGTGGACTCTCAGCAGTGCTGCTAGCCAGCAGAGCCTGGCCAAGAGCTGGCGTCTGTATTTTAGTTCCTTACCTGCAATGTACTCATAATCACTTCAGTCCCAGATCAATGCTTGGCCACACACAGGTCAGCATAGCGCAGGACACAAGACCGAGCGTCTGCTCACTCTGGGCCAGCGGCACGCTGTTAGAAATTTGAAGCAAAGAAGGAAATCTTAGCCCTCTGACTTTGTGTCACTGTGGTGTGATGGACAAGGACAGGACTGTGTGTGCCAAGAGGACTGGTGTAACCAGGTCCTTGAGCTGGACAAAGTATTTGGCTCACACAGAAAGGAAGTCCCCATGATTTCCAAGGGTAAAAGAAGTCATCTGTTGGTGACCTCTGGCAGTAGCCTCCATCACATTATTTCCTGCAAGGTTTAACGCATCCATACAGTTCAAAACAATGCCACAGAACAAGGCACTGCGGATTTATAATATCACAATTTCCAGTGTGCCATGGAGAAAGGATTTAACAATCTTCTTTTTCTTTGACGTCTGCAGATTTCTCAATTTTCAACAGTCCGCTTTGATACAAAGAACTCAACTCACATGGTTGAAAATTTCCGTCCTGTCCAGTTTCTGAACGAACGAAAGGTGTACTGGTCCAGTGCCAGCATCCTCCTGCCTACTGCTAAGGTTTTAATGTTGGTCCTGATGCTTACGTACATCCTGAGTTCTCTTTTCCAATGAATACTTCTTACCTCATCCAAAGTCCTGGGATTTTTGGAGGTTTTTTTTTTGTTGCTGTTGGTTCCTTGTATCAAGTAGTCTCTCTAACTACCAACTCATGAATCATATCTCAATACAGAATTTAACCACTTTCTCCTCCAGACACTAACCAAGGACTTCTGTTGCTGCTCTTATATAAAATCAAAACCATTGCACTAAACCACAAGAATTTGAAGGAACTGTGAGATAAAGCTATGAAGATTCAAATTAAAAAAAAAAAAAAAAAAAACCAACGCAAATAAAGCATTAGGGTGGATTATCTGCAAGCCTGTAGCTTTAAAACAACATTGGAAGGACACTTTACAAGCTATACAGAGGACCTTCAAGAGGAAACTGTTCTTAAGTGCCTATGAAGGGTTTTGTCTGGAATATGTTTACATTCAATGCTGCAAATCAGGAAGATAGTAACATGTGGAGTAATTCTTATCCCTACATTGTCCTAGATGAAGGTACAATACAGAGCAAAATAAAAATGCTCACACACAATTGAGCAACATCTGGGTCATCCTGTCTAGTGAAGGTTATGTGACAAAACTCATCTGTACTAATATAATTTCCCCCCCTTCTTCCTTCAGAACATATACATTTAATTTTTAGCTAAGGACACTGGATTCCTTTTATCTAATCTACTGATTCTGGATTTCAGGTTTCTCTATTAAGTCTATTTATTCAGCCTAGTACAGCATCCTTCTCTAGGATGTCCACACTTGAGATGATGTGCTAAAAAGAAAAAGGGAAGCTCAACCACATACACCAATTGCACCTCTGTGGAAATTCATTCTCTTTGGAGGGCTGCATCTGTAACATGAGACTTCGATGATCCTTTACAGCTTTAATTTGGCTAATAAAATGGGACAGTTCAAGAAACGGCTCTTTTTACTTTTTAGTATCACATTTTATAAGCTTTTAAATTTCAATTTGAACATTTCAGTGTGAACATTTCCCTATGAATTGTTTCCTTTTTTTTTTTTTTCCATATAACGTCATTCCTGTAAAATATTCACATATGGTTAAGAATCACAGTTTTTTCAAGAAGACTGTGTTTTGAACTGATTTCTTCAGATCTTACCCAATTACAGAAAAGCTCAATATATTAGGAAATGGGATTTCCTTATATTATTCCAGTTCTCTCTTTGAGGACAGACATAACCGTTTTCTTTGGCTATTGCCATATAACATGTTACAGCTTCTTTTAGAATTTTAGATTTTGGTCACACCAAGATAGGATTTCATAATAGCAGACTTGCATATTTTTCTTAGGATGTTTGTAGAGATGACTTTATGCTACAGCTATATGGCCATTTTCAGGAAAAATATGATAGTGGGACTAACCACAGCTCACCAAAGGAGAAAAAGCAGGGGGAGAAATTATTTTCATACTTAAAAATCAATAATATAAGCTTAAAAAAAAAAACACATGGGAAAGAAAATTCACTTTTTTTATATTTAGAGGAATGATTAGGACTTTAACTGCATTTTTAGTTAAATAAAAAACTTTTGAGAAGCAAACATAAATGAAAGATTAAAGGTGAACAGAGACCTATATATTCATTGCCTTGAGTTTTTATTTCTTTCATCCTTGCTGAAGGGAAATCCACACAACACTCATTCAGAAAAGGAATGTGACTTTTTTTCCCTATTTTCCTCACAACATTTAGGTTTAGGTTTGCATTTTACGGGGCGATTTGCAGTACACTGCAATGTTTCTGATGTCAGCAGGCTTCTGGAGATTTTATTTCACATGGGTCATCTTGGGTATTACCTGCACATAGCAAAATTGCTTTGAGTATAGCAGCTTGCTCAGCAGAGCTGGTGCACACACCCAGCCCATCAGGTAGAGGACAGGCAGATTTCTTACAGTGAAGGAAAAGGTACCACAGATTTACCCAGTGTAACTTCACCTCTGTACAAACAATTGGCTAGTGAGTTAACCAGGATAAACAGGTGTCTACTTACCCATCTCTTGAACATCTGTGTTAGTCATGTCCATTACATCCCTCAGCATCCCACAAGTAGAGAATGCATCAAGAAATTAAGAGGAAGGATGCTTTGTTTTCAGGCTGTTTTACAAGATGTAATAAATGGAAGTATTCTGAAAGGCTCACGTTTCATTGCTCTTTCTAGATTTACAAGCAGCATGGTAAACAGCACAATCTCATACAAAAGTCCCACAGGGATGGGAGCTGCTGTTTTAAAGACAAGTATTGCAAATACTCCTCAAGATGCCTCCACTGAGAACAATTCCTTTTTCATTAAACAAGTCCCCTGCATCTGCTGGGAGTACATATAAGAGCCCACTATTCCTCCCCATTCTGATTATTTACTAATTTCATGAGGTGATTCTCATTTCTTAGGCATCTCTCTTCAGGATGGTTGGAAGAAACCACGGAGGATCTGGGTCAACTGTCATTTGTTGCTAGTGATTCGCAGGGGCAGCCTTTCACTAGGTTGTGCCTCATTTTACCATGTGGATAGAGAGGAGCATTTACAGCAATTAGTTATGATGTGGGAGGATCTATTTACTATGAAATATATTAAAACATAACTAGGAGGAAGAAACAAAAAATCTGCTGAAAAGATTAGTCCTCTATAAGTAGTCTCCTGCACAATTCTCAGCATGAATAAAATCTGAATTTTATGCCAATGAGGAAAAGGGAAATGCTACAGTCTGCACCTGTGTCAGTAATTTAGTTCAATTTGCTCTTTGTCAGAGGTACCTCTTTGCAATCAGGCAGATACAGTATGTTCTGGTGCAGGACGTGACAATTACAGGACTAATATTAATGCAGTGAATAAATACAAATCTACAGCAAAAGCTATTCATTTAAAAAACCAGTAGAGACAGGAAGCCTTGAAGTGAGACATTTGGTTTTCTTTTGTGAAAACAGTCATGGAAAATTAATTTGCTGTTCCACAGGTAGCTTCAGGCAGAGACTTTCAAGAATTGTGTCTACACTACATTTGGCATGAAACTTCTTATATTGCGAAGACACTGGGAAACGACAGTAACTCCTGAAGAACTACTAGCCAAGCTGTGACAATACAGGAAAGGGTGGGGGAAGGAACAGAGATATTTAGAAAGACCCAGAAAGAACAGTATTTTCCCACGTACAGAAAAGTTAACACAGAATTTTGTTAATACTTTTCACATATGTTGGAGCCAGAGTTGAAGACTGCTTAGTTTCTCTGGCTGAAAACTGGAATACAAGAGAAAATTAAACAACACTGTAAACTAAAATTCACCAGAGGTGTATGTTTCAGGTTTAAAACAAAAAAGAAAAGCAGGGGCTTTGTCAGTCTGGATCAAGTTAGAGGTAGATTAGCATGTGGATTGCAGAAGACCAGACATATGAACCAATCATGTTCAAGAGTGCAAAGACCAAAACATTTTTAAGATTATCAAAGTTTGTCTGTAGCTTTTCTTATGAGAACCGTGTCCTTTGGAAGCAGCCTGCAATTTGGTTTCAGCTTTGCCTGTAATGGTTGTCGTGGTAGAGGCCATTCACTGTAAATTTGAGCAGCAGCTAGGGACTCACCAGATTTTAGTAGGTTGTCCCCATTTCTAAAAGTTAACCAAGCTGAGATTACATGGTGTTGTATAATGCATCTGAAAAGCAGTCCTTCTCTAGTTTTGGATCAGACTTTGATTTGAGTGGAAGCCTTCAGACTTCTGAGAAGTGAAGGAGTAGATCTGCCATATGAACACAGGTTCAGCTTCACTCCCTCACAATCATCTGACTATTGGCCCAGGAGCAGTGTGGGGGTGATAGGAGGGGCAGGTACAAAAAAAAAAAATCATAAACAATATGCTTTCAGCAAAACATTTTCTCAGGAAGTAAAAAGAGACAAGGAAGCCTAGTCATTAATCACAAGAAATAAATTTACATTATCCAGAAAGATTTTTAACAAACTTGCCAGCTTCATTTTATGGTCAGCTCTTCCTGCTGACAAACATGAGCTCAAAATGCACTTTGCTTATGTACAGAATTAATTTTTTCATTACTACTTGGGGAAAAGGATAAAGCTTTTTACTTTTTCCTTTCCTCCCTTGCCCATCTGGAAGTGGATTTCACAGGGAGGACAGCATTTGCCAGCACATCCAGCAACCTTCCTGTTAAACAGATGTCATATAGCAAAGACATGTAAAATAGCCTCCATCCACCTATAGTCAAAAAAGGATACAGAGAGGTCTACCTAGCTTCCCAAGCTGGCTTTGAAGTCTAATAAATATGTTAGTATCAGGTGCAATGTCAGTCAACTCTGATCCTAGGGCGGGGAGGGCCACTGCCTCTTGTTGTACCTTGCACAGGAGACAACACTCCACCACATAAAATATAGTTGGACTTGATGATCTTAAAAGTCTTTTCCAACCTAAATATTTCTATGAAAAATGACACTTGGAGACATGAGGCTCTTTTCAATAGAGTTAAAAGCGGACTTGGTGATTTGCACATGGTACCTCTGTGCAGTCAGAGGTGGCTGTGGAAAATGTTTCATATAGGAAAAAGTCATATAGAAATTAAAAAAAAAAAAAAAAGGAAATGTAGGATTTACTAGTAAATTAATGTGTATCTGTGTAAAAGCCAATAAAACTCTAGCTGAGATGCACTGAAGAAATACACACAAGCAACCGAGACGGATAGCCTCCTGCCACACTGCCCAGCCTGACGGGCTGGTCCCCGCATACACGGGGGATGACGTGGCCAACCACAACCCGGTGAGATTTTTCCACAAGAAGCATCTAAACCCCACCTCACTCATACAACGTGGGTCATTTGCTGCTTGCAGAGCCTTACCAGAGCACCTGTTGCAACACAAGGTGATGCACCCATAAGGAAGCAGACGAGGCACCCGTGATGCCTGCCTGAGGTGTCCCGTGCTCTGGGGTGGTGCTCAGCCTGGTCTTTGTGCACCTTTTTTTTCTCAGAAAACCCTTGTTTGTAATCTCCTTTGCAGACAGGACTGACTCACCGCCTTGCTGTTCACAGGTTGTAGGAAGCAGCAGCGTAGCCAGGTCAGGCCCCTCTGAGGTGGGCATGGCGGCGTGGTGGGCGCTGTCACCCAAGGCTGGGTTCAAATGCCAGGAAGGGCAGCCCTGCCACTTCAAAAGTGAACTGAAAGGAAAAAAGGGGGGGAAAATAAGAATAAAAAGGGAAAGAAAAAGACCCTCCCAGCATGTCAGGGGTGGCAGGCAAAGGGGTGGGCACCCACACAATTTGTCCGCCATTTTGTGGGGGTCTGTTCCAGCCAGGCTGAGAGGAGCCCAACAAACATGGCGACCATCTTGCCACGGGCGTCTGCCGGGGACCCATCTCAGGGAAGAAAACAGCCTCGTGCTGCCTTCTCCGCCACATCTCAGGTATTGTAGCCCCGGGGTTTTGGGTGGCAGAGGCATGGCAACAAACATTGCACCTCAAGAAAAAAACCCTATAGTGACCTTCTCAGCCAGGCGGGATAAAGCCGGGGCAGTTTGTCTTCCTGATGCCCTCCAAACTCTTGCTGAACACAGACACCACGCATTCAAGCCAACTGCCGAGAATGGGAACATGCAGTTTGCATTACGAAGTTTAAATATATTTCCTAAAAATAACCCACTGTTTGGGGCTTTTAGTAGCGGAAATAAATCCATATACACCCATAAAACCTGATTATAATTAGTCACACAAGTAAAATTATGAGTGCAATTAACTACAGCAATTAATTGAAATGCCTTTGGGACATTATTTCCCTTCTTGCAGTTGAATGCAATTTGCATTTAAACTTATATTATAAAAGGTAGAAGATCGTAATCAATTTGGGTTATTTTATTATCTTTTACTTATTAATATCTTTTGAAATGATTCAGACATCTAGTAGTCAAAGATGACTTTGTTTAAAACAAATACAAACAGCTGACACTATTTTAATAACTATGGTTTTTGTTTTCTTGTAATCTATCTCATCATAACTAAACTTTTCCATGTCCTTTCTTTTTATCATATGAAGAGAACCTCATAAAAATATATTAGCTTCCATTGACTGAAATTACCTTCATAATGTCAACACCCATTCACTTCCCACATTACTAAGACCATTCGTTTTTCCCAGCACGTAGGAGAAAGATCTTGATTGATTAGTTTCCAGATACGTGTGGTTATGAAGAATTTATGAGAGAGAAAGGAAGGCAGAGGTTTTACATTTTGGTGATTGTGCTGATGTTGAGATTAAGCCCTAAATAAATCATAGTAATTTTCTATCAAGAATGCTATATCTTTGAAAACCTGCAATCATTTGAGTTTGTTAGACATGGAACACTCAGCATTACACAAAATGCTTTCTTACATGCAGTAAAACATAATGTTTTATGTCCTGGAACCCAACAGTCACTGCTGATCCTATGAATAATCCTGGGAAAAAACAGTAAGCTCCCTAAGGTAAATGAAAGCTGCTGCTTAGAAGAGCAGGATAAACCCTGAGGTGCCGAAGTCTTCCTCCAGCCCCTTCAGCTGAAATTCACTGCAACTGATGGCTACTCTGCTTTCTGTGCAGCATTCCATTCCAAACAT